CGTTTCATTATCTGTTTACCATCAATTAGGCGAGGACAATGTGAAAATGTTTACCTAATTTTTTGTTTTTGTTTTTGTTTTTGGCAATACTATGAGCCTAGAAGTGTCTAGAGTACCTTACATACATATAAATATGCATATATATACATATACCCTACAAAAAATTTTTGGACCATATCGTTCACTGGAGTAATCCAATAAGTACTCCTCGGTAGTGAAATATTGGTTCAACTCGCGTCTCGTTGCTACTCTGCTGCTCTTAGCCGATGATTGCTCATGTTTAAACGATCCCAATTACCAAACGAAGATGCATGCATGCGGACTATGACATTTCTACTCGTTTGCGGAAAATGGATGGAACTTTAGTCAACTTCGTTACGTTAGTGAGCTCTGCTGGTGTATTGAGGAGGTGAATAAGTTTGACAAATGCGAATATAAAAATGTTATTATGCTTATTAGCAACAAATTTTTAATTTAAATTTATAATATAAATATTATGTTAATATATATACATATATGTATATTTGTTTTGAGCAAGGCGATTTGTATTCGAAACAAAAAATTATGTCCGAATCTCATTTTTCGTTTATACGCCTTAAAATAACCCACTGTACGTACTGCGTGGCGTAATTTTCGGATTAGTTTGAATACTAGTTTCATGTACTCGTATGTACTTCATAGATTACTCGGATGTTATATAAGGTCGGATGGAGTATAAGGTCGAGGTCTAGAATATCACAATGAAAATTGAATCATATTTTTGGTATGAATTGTGGTTAGTTCTGGATTACTCCATTGACCGCGTGCATGGACTAGTCGCCTTGATTACAGGTTAATATAATATACATATATATATGTTTGTATGGATGTGCATGTCTGGTAGACACTTTCGAAATTTTACGCAACCACAAAGGTTGACCTTGACTTCATGTGATTTTGCTAAGCTCTTTAGGCTACGGCAGACGGCAGAGTAAATTGTTTTTCATTTAAGAAATTTTATATAGTTTCGCGCTGAAGGAATAATATTTAATTTTTCAATATTTCTAAGTCTTTTTTTTACATGCTTTCACATACTAATTATGTATATATGTGAGTTGAAAACAAACAAAAAATTCAGTAAAACCTTAATACAATTTTATATGCATTTAATTTACAAATTAAAAAAATTATAAAAATATAAAAAAAAAATTATTTTTTTTAATTTAAGCATATATTTAATCTCTTAAATTTTTTATTGTTTTAATTGCTTGTAAATTTTAGTTAGATTATTTTATTAACAATATTTGCCTTATGAATTTAAATAATATTTTTTTTTGGTAAAAAATATATTTTTTTAAAAGTCATTAATTTTAGTGGAAGCCTGTTTTTGTCATAAAATATAATAATAATATTTCATGGTTTTAATTATATAATATATTATTTTGATTTATCAAAATTCATAAAATATTAATTTAATCTAAAATTATATATATGTATTGTATTTTAAAATTATATTGCAGAACTTTTATTAATAAACCAATTGAAATCAAATTTTATGAAAAACTTAAATAATAAGCAATACATTTTTATACATAAAAATTATTTTATTGTTGTTTGCTTGAATATTATTATTATTTTATTAGCAGCATGTTATAATTTATTTATTTGAAAGCTAATTATGCAAAAAAAAAATTATAATTTTGCTGAGTAGCCATAGCAACAATAGGTCGTAGGCTGATTAGCAACAATTGATTTACATTATTATTTATTTATTATTATTTATTTAATATTATTTATTATTTATTAATATTTCTTTTACCATATTTTACTTTAGAGTTTTTATTGTAATGGTAAACAATGATTTATACGTAAAAATTAAACTAAAAGTAATAAATTTGTATGTCAATATTTTAGAATTTTTTTGTCTCTTTTTATATATAGAATTTACTTTTTTTTGTTTTATTTACATATAGATTTTAGCTACTTTTCGCATTAAAAATAATGAAGAAAAATCTTAGAAAATTATATTTTGAACCTTTTCACTGAAAAGCAATGATTTTTAGGCAAAAAATTAATAGAAAACATACATTTTCTTCGAAAAATAAAAAAAAATTGTTTAGTTACTTAATTGTAATAAGAAAATGGTATTATATTATAATAAAATTAATAAAATATAAAACTTTTTTTCAGAGATTTTCTTACTAAAAAATTTAGTTTTAAGGAAAAAATAAAAAAAAAAATTTATAGAAATGTAAATGTATATTTGTAGTAACAACATTTAATTTATACTGTTAGTTCAATTAATTTATTAATATTAAACTTTTTTTTATACTATATTCCTTTGCTGTAGTATTTTAGCTGCATCTAAAAATTAAATGAAATAGCAATAAATTTCAACACAAGAACCAAAATAACAATGCATGGAAACAAAGGAAACGCAGAAATAAAAAATAAAAAAAAAATCCCTATAAGTCAGTTCATTCTAAATTCTAAAGTATTTAAGTGTTGAGCTCCCTCTACTTTTATATGATTTCCCATAACTATGCCAAAACACCAACAAAATGAAACTAATGCTCACTACGGTTTAAATTTGAAATCATTTCCTTAATTCTTTTGTGTTCTCATTGTTTCTGTTGTTGTTCACCAACTTCTTTTACCCGTTCAAACTGCAGAAAGAGATGTGAGTATACTACATCGACAATGACGTCATTAAAAGAGTGTGACTATATGTATGTATCACTGCTTAGTATACATCGTACGCACTTCGTGGTAATCCGGCATTTAAACCAATTACAGCAACAAATAAAATGGCGCAAGCTAAAAACCAATCAAATCCCTTTGTTGCCTGCGTTGGCATCCACTTGCCGTTAAATATAAACACAAGTTCACACATACTTACTAGGCAGTGTAAGCATACGTTTTCACAATGGCGTTTGCTAAAATGGCAGTGAGGCGATTTTTAATTGGTATTTAACGCAAAGAAAGGTATGCAGATAAATGCTGTCAGTAGTAAAACTCGAATTGTTGTATACTAAAAAAAATTATAATAATTTTTCCAAAATATGCCCTTGAAATGAGTACAATTTTATTGCACTGTTAATAAAAATTATATCAAAGGTTTAAAAAAAAAACTATGTACTTACTTTGGTATTGTTAAAAAATCATTTAAATTCAATGTTTCCTCCTTTTGAATATATCTTAACTACCTTGTCACACAGTAAATATAGCTGAAAAAATAAATTATATTTTTTACCAATCTGTCTTAAGTGGATATTTTTTTTTTCCTTATATATGTGTCACAATTTGTTAAAAAGAAATATAAATTTATTTACTAAAATTTTACTTTGAGTTTTCTAAAAGAGAAATATATCTAAAAATCGAAACACTTATAAGTGTAAAAAAAAAACTGAAGAGAAGTTATACACTTTCCAAAAAATATCAATATTTAATTTTTGAACACTATTTAAATAGAATATTTTCGGGTCTCTCCGCATTTTTCCAAAGAAACTAAATGTTATACTGTACAAACAGCCCCGGTGAACATCATGTCGCCCCAAATTTCGCTCCTTCATGTTAACTCGATACAGAAAATAGTTAAAATTGTGTTGTTGTTTATTTAGATGTTAACGAAATGAATAGATGGGAATGTTTTTCGAATAGTTTTGCGGTTCAGAAATAAACAACAAAGAAATCCAAACATGCAGCGTACACTGATCGCACAATAAACAAGCATCTATACGGTAATTTTTTATTCAAATCGGTAATTTCTAAATTTTTCCATTTGTTGGAGAAAACATCAAGAGGCAAAACCACAAATTGGAGGGGAAGCTCGGCTGAAAACCGTTTCAGCGGTTAGAAAGTGACAATTGTATACATATATATATTTATATTATATATATGTATATATTCCCAATTTTATATTTTCTTCAGCTGGGCGCTGTTAATCTAAATATGAACGCCTGCTTTATACTTTTACCCAAATAATAAAAATTTCCTTCAATCTCCGTAAAAATTAAGCTTAAAATAATGACTTTGTATATATATATACATATATGCGGTTGTTATCTTAAAAACCGGCTGGGCATTTATTACACACTACTGTAGGTGTTACGTGGCACATAAAGATATTTGCAGCAGCTTTAACTTCCACAACGATTCGCTTTTAATCAAAGCAAGGAAAACGTAAAAAATGAAATTGAGAACACTGACTGATATACATATGTACTGGTTTGTATATATTTGAAAATAAATGTTTTTAGTAAATAGAAATTATATACGAGTGATTGCTCTACAAATATAATTCTCATATATTCTCTGCTGCCTAGGCGACAGCCTAAGTGTATGCAACAATTTTTCCCTAGTATTATTATAACCAAAACTGTTTTAATGGCACATCTATTCAGAGGCACTCAAACTTTTGTTCAGTGCAGCAGGCGGTTTTTCGATCATTTAATTTATGTGCTTTGTTTCGGAGAGATATTGCGATTTCTATGTTAGAGTTACAGCTCTTTATGTACATTTTATAAATTTATTTGTTTATAATATTTTCTTTTAATTTTCTTAAAATCATAAAATAATAAATAATATAAAAAATATAAACAAAAGGTTTTTTATGGTTTTTTGTATTTTATTTAATTTTATTTCGAAAATCTTAAATATATGTACATATAAATATTTTATACAACTATTATTTTATTCTAAAATTTTACCTAAATTTTACAAATATAATAACAAAACACTAAGCTATTTTTTTTTATTTGAAAAACGTTATTAAAAATTTATAAATGACTAGACATTTTGTGTTACAAATTCCAAAGCTTTTTAACAATTTTTTTCTAAATGTTTATATGTACTTTTTATTAATAAAATTCTGATATATGTTTGTATTTCAAAGCAAAAGTTTTTAATAATTTTTTTTGGTATATTTACAAACATTTTTATCAAAAAAAAAAAAAAAAAAAAAAACCATTTTACAGATTTCGAATATTTGTTTTTTTTTCAATACATATGTATATTTTTATAGTAAATAATTTTGGTCTTTATTAGTTCAATTAATGTTATTAAAAAATCCCCACTTAACTTTTGGTTCGCTTGCAAAAGCTTTAAAGCTAAAATTTGAAAGCTTATGTAATAATAACTCACATAAATAAATTTTAATAATTATGTAAATTAAATTTTTTACCTAAACTTAAAATTATGGCAAAGATTTCTGAGTATTTTTGTGTAATGATCGTGTAAGTTTGTAGATGATATGTGCAGCCCATCTAAAAGCTTTTGCAGAGCTTTTTCATTTACGCTCAGCTTCTCAAGTATCATTTCCTACCTCAGTTATCGCAAAACTTGAAATGAATATCGTGTTATCGTCTATGTTACAAATTTTATTAAGAATATCAACTAATTAGTAGCTAACAATAAGATAATAAAAAGCTCTGCAGCGCTACCAACACGAGCTTTCACAGTCCCCTTGTGATCTACCAAAACCACCAGCCCTTCTTCTTCACCTCATTCTCCGTTTGGTTAATCTCCTGCTTGCGACTCGGCAACGGCGGTGGGCTTTCGCTTACACGCTCTTTGCCCGGCGGCATTGGACGTGGTGGAGCTGATGACGGCGGTGTCTTCAGATTACCATCATTATTCGCTTGAGGCGTTGTTGCATCTATATCGACCGTCACACCAGGCTCAATATTCTTCTCACCGCTTTCACCACCTTCACCTTCCTCTTCAGGTGGCAACTCGATGCCAATTGTAGTGCTCAACTTAATGGACGCCTGCTTGAATGTGTCACTCAACTTAATCTGCACCACATTGATGAACATGGAAGTGAGCGCCAAACCGAATACCAAATAAAGTATACTGCACATCATGAATACCGGATGCTTCGGCACTAGGTCACCAAAACCAATCGTCGACATTGAGATGAAGACAAAGTAGAAAGCCTCAAAGTAGCTCCACTCCTCCCACATTGAATAGAAGAGCGCGCCAATCAGTATGTAGCTGATGAGCAGGAAGGAAGCCACCGAAATGGGTAAATTGAATTCGTCGTCCACCTCGAAGGTCTCATCGAATGGTGACGACGGTGTTTCGGGACCCGTTGTGCGTGACTCAATATCCGTGTCACGTCCGAAGAACATACTCGAACGTCTTGCCAGTTTCATAGCGTCTCGTACCGATTGGTGTTTACGTATTTGCCGACAGGTGCCCATGTAGTACAACCGGCGTACGTAGACCCAAAGGAATTTCAGCGCACGTGTGAAGAGCTTACCATAATCCGCAAGGATGAGTAAAAATAGTGGTATGCCTATGATGGCGTAGACAATGGCCAAAGTGCGGCCCAATTTTGTGACGGGTGCAATGTGACCATAACCTGTAAAGAGAGAAACGAAAAAATCGCTTAGTATTTCTGTATGCATTAGAAAGAGCCTTAGAACTGAAATGAATAATAAGAAGATGGAGCTTTGCATCCACTCAGTAGCTATAGAACAAGATTTTGTGTCTGACAATAGACTTATCGCAGGGATAGTCGCTAGCTGAGCAAGCTCCCAGCATAAAACTTGAATATTCGGTTCGCGAAAATAGTTTCTACAACGTTTAGATTTCCAAAAAAAAAAAAAAAAGAAACCTCGCGCATCTTTCATTAGAATTGCTAATTCTAAAAATTTCCTTGAGACCTAGGGAAAACCGGGAATCATTGTATATACCCAGCTGATTCACTTCGAAGAAGCTCTAGGCGGCTAAAGAAAACGTAACTGCCAGAATTCGATATCCACTCGACGCGGTGTCTTCAACCTTAAGGAGTTCTGTCGGTAGCTCTAAGTTCAATCTTGACTGTAGGAGTGCGGGAAGATCGTGAGAAGTTACTTTCGGCAGAATCTGATAAGAGAATGACTCTACGAAGCAATATTCTTTGAATTCGACGTTCTCGTTTCCAATCTTGAACCATTCGTTTACTCTAAAGAAGTCCCGTGGAGTGATTGGAACAAGAATGGTCTGATGTTATAACGTCTTACAGAGATCTAACGTCAAGTATTCTTAGGTGATCCGTGGAGCCACTCGATCTAAGGTTCTCGTTCTGGCAGCTATCTGAGGCTCGCTCGCCTCAATGAATTATTTGTATCTACTTGTCTCCAGCTCGCTTATTTCCAATACTACTTTGAGTCTACCAGCGAGTTTTCGAGGGAGATGCAAGCACAGCCTCGATTTGGAAAGTTAAAATAGACTCGCTTTTCATAGATTGATTAAATTGCAATGACTACTTTAGAGCTCTACCCAGGAAGAAGCGCATGTTGCAAAGGAAGTCTCTTAACCACCGTATTTGTAACATCTGATTGCCTCGAAGGAGGCCGTACCAGCCCTCCACGGAAGTAGTCCTTCTCAAAAGAGGACGCTTAAGTTAAAAGCTTTCATATATTTAGCAAGAGTCATCACTTCAAAACATTTCCAGGAGATCACCCAGGCTAGACTCAGATTCGAGTTGATTAATTCCACAGTTAATGCAATAGGTCTTACGAGACTTGGACTTGAGCTCATTCAGCGAGGTACAAAACTAAAATTTTATTCAAAAAAGTTGATTTATGGATTTAACCGCACCTATAGTTGTCATAACAGTCCAACAGAATAATATGCAGTTCACAAAATTCCAAGATTTCTGACCCGGGTAACGACGTATACCCAACTCCGCGAGTAAATTGAGCTCATCTTCGAACTTTCGCAACTTCTGGCGAGCCAATGACTTCCAATCGTCTTCCCTATAAAACAAAAATTAAAATCAATCAAGACACCGTAAGGAGCCCAAACTCAACCGTCTACCTCATACTGTGGCTAACGGTCCATAGATTATCGATGAAATCGCGTTTCACCTTACGCACTTCACATTTATAGATATTCTCCGATGTGCCCTCGGTGTAGCGGAACATTAGACCACCGAAACCGCAAAGTAGAATGAGTAGAATCATCTCTGCAACGCATTTGTTGCGCAATAGACGTATGGTCCGCAGGTGCGCGGGGTAATCGGCTTTCATGCGACGCCATTGCTGACGCATATCCAAGTAAAGATGGCGTATGACTTCTTTCGACAACAAATTTTCAGGTAAATCCTCGGCGATGAGGTCACCGGGCAGTAGCAGTTTCTCGGTGGCAAAATGTACCTCCGTCTCTGGTGTGGCTTGAGGCTTCTGCGCCCGTTTGCTGTTGAAGTAGGTAAAGATTTTGCGCATAATAACTGTCATCAGTGGCACGGCGGCGGCGGCTTTGCGTGCCTCCTCCTCTAGTCTTTCCACCTCGGCAGCCTTAGCGGCGGCTAGCGCCGAGGCCTCCAATTGCGCTTTCTCCAAACTCTGTTTCCTACGTCTAGCAATTTCAGTGAGCGAGTCTTTGCGTGGTACGCTATAACGTCGACGCACTTCACCCACCTCTGCCGCAGGTTGGGGTTTCGGATATTCAGGCATGCTGTGTACATCTGGCGAGCTGGGTGACTGCGGCTCTGGTGTTACACTAACCGATTTACTGTTCGCCTCATTTTCAGCCATGCGACGCATCTTCTCCGCACGTTGTTCCGGCGTCCTTGAACGCCTTTGTGGTCGCATGGGTGAGAGTGAGTTATTGCGACTGACATTGCGACGCTCGGGCGGCTGTGGTGGTGGACCACGCACACCAGCCACATAGTTGACTGCACCTGCCACAGCTGACACTTGTCGACGCACCGGATGAGTGTGCTTATCCAATCTATGTGCTCTCATTTCCACATCCGCATCGTCTACGTCGGATGAGGAGAATTGCGTAGATGATTCCTCATAACCGCTGTGACGGTGTCGCGGCTTTAGCACCGGCGCTTCGTTACGTTGCAAACGTAGACTGTGCACCATGCGTCGGCGCTCCTCTGCATCTGCCGGCAATTGTATGCGATCACTTAGTTTACGGTAATTCTGCAGTAGCTGCTTACGCTCATCACTGTCGTGCAACTGTTTGTAGCGCAAACGATGTTCGCGTTTCTCACGTTCGAAATGGCGTTTATCTGCTTCGAAACGCTTGCGCTCCTCCTCGAAGCGAAGTAAATTCTGCTCCAAACGACTGATGTTTTCATCGGCGGTCGCACGCATCGGCGGCGACAAGTGGCGTTGAGCCACAGTGACAGCACTAAGCTCACCCTCACTGGACTCATCCTTATGCCGCGGCGAGGAGAGACTACGATGCTTCACTGTTACACGTATTAACTCATCCGCTTCGGGACTGGTCAGACGTTCCGCCTCGCGTGGTTGTGATAGACTACGTGCCGCCGAATTGGCGAACGTCTTATCACGCCGTCGCAGTATTTTACTCTCATGTGCAGACATTGTGCCGGGCGGTCGTATTTGCATGCGTACACTTTGTACGCCGGCCACTTCTTCGGAAGCTGTGGTGGTGGCGTCAATGGCGCTGCCCTCATCTTCAGAGTAGCGACGTCGGCCGTTCGATGGCTTCGCAGTGGGATCGGGTGTTTTTTCGCGTTGCGGACGGGTTAGCTTACGATGGCGGCGTCGTACTGTGGCGCCTTCAGCTTGTTGCTGCTGGTGGGAGTCCATGGTGAGTGTGAATTTGGTGAGTTTTAATAGTTAAATGGAGGAAGTTATTTTTCGTGCTTTTTTCTTTCAGTTAATTGTTTTGTTAAAATTTTTGGAAATTTACACTCGCAAAAGCTTTATTACTTTTTATTAAATATACTTGTTTATTTATTGTTTTTTTATTTAATTTAATTTAATTTAAATTAATTTTATTATTCAATATATATTATTTAGTTTTATTCTAATTGGTGTTATTTTATTTAATTTATTAATTTAATTTTATTAATTTAAGTTTATTATTTATTTTTTATTTATTATTTTTATTTATTTCTTAAAGTTATTCAATTTATATTTAAGTAAATAATTTTATATAGTTTATTTAATTTTATTTTAATTTGTTTTATTTGATTTTATTTAAATTTGTTTTATTTTACCTTATTTTATTTTACTGTAGTTTATTTTATTTTCAATTTTTTTTGTTTGTATATTTATTTTGACTTTATTTAATTGAATGTTTTTAATTTTATTTTATTATATTTAAATTTATTTAATTGAATTAAATTTAATTTTACTATATTTTCTCAAATATTTAATTAACTTTTTTAAGTTTTAATTTATTTTTAATATTGTTTTTTAATTGTATTTTTTTAACTTTATATTATTAATTTTTGTTTTAATTTTAAATTTATATATTTCTTATATTTTTATCTATTTTACTTTTTATTTTTTATTATACTTTTTTATTTAATATATATTATTTAAATTATTTAATTTGTTATATACTTTTTTGTTTGATTTTATTCAATTTAATTTAATTTGTTTTTTTAGATTTGTATTTATTTCATTTATTAAATTTAAATTACTTTAATTTATTTAATTTTTTTTAATTTTTTTATTATTATCTAATTTGTACAATATATTTTAATTAATTTCCATATTATTTTTTATTTAAATTAATTTTTTTTTTTATTTAAATGTTATTTATTTTATTTATTTCTTTATTTTAATTAATTAATTATTTAATTTTGAATTTATTTAATTGAATTAAATTTAATTTTACTATATTTTCTCAAATGTTTAATTATAATTTAATTAACTTTTTGTGCTTTAATATATTTAAATTTTTTTTAATTGTATTTTTTTAATTTGACATAATTAGTTTCTATTTTAACTTTAAATTTATAATAATTTATCTATTTTATTTTTTATTTTTTTATAATATTTTTTTATTAAATATATTTTATTTAAATTGTTTAATTTGTTTAATACTTTTTTGTTTGATTTTATTCAATTTAGTTTAATTTGTTTTTTTTTTTAGATTTGTATTTATTTTATTTATAATTAATTAATAATATTAAATTTAATTTATTTTAGTTTCTTTAATTTTTTATTTTATCGTATTTATACAATACATTTTAATTAATGTCCAAATTCTTTTTTTCTTTAATTAAATTTTTTTTTAAATTTAATGTTGTTTATTTTGTTTTATTTAATTTTGTTGTATTTTATTTTGCTATTATTTATTTTATTTTATATCCTTTCTATTTTATAATTTTTTTAAATTTGTTTTATGTAATTTTTATTTATTATATTTTTTTATTTAAGTTAATTTATTTTATGTAATTTTTTTTATTATATTTTTTTATTTAAGTTAATTTATTTTATTTTATTTTGCTGTATTTTTATTTTACTATTATTTATTTTATTTTATTTACTTTTTTATTATATTTATATTATGTAATTGTACTTTATTTTTTATTTATTAATTTCACTTTTTTATTAATTATATATATTATATTGTTATTTACTTTGTGTTATTTCATTTTGCTGTATTTTATTTAATTTACTTTTTATTTTACTAAATTTATTTTATGTAATTATATTTTTTTAATTTAAGTTAATTTATTTTATTTCGCTATTTCTTATTTTCTTATATTTATATTATATAATTTTCATTTTATATTATTAAATTTATTTTACTTAATTATATTTAATTTTTTTAATTAATTAAATCCACTTTTTTATTTTTTATTTAATTTATTTAAAGTTTTTGTGTTTATTTTATTTTTACTCTCCTCGTTATATTTTACTTTAGTTTTTTTTTTTTTTTATTTGGAACAATTTGTTATTATTTGTTTGCTCTCATTTATCATAATTCCTTTTGCGCTTTTATTTCGAAAATTTTTCACCACTTTTCTCTCATAATTCCTTGTGTGATAAAAACTTGCTGATTTTTCAAACACTTCATATGCCGCTATTTTTAATTGTACCCATAAAATTTCGACATCGTTCTCTTTACACATCAGCATATGTTTGTATGTACGAGTATGTACTCTTGTGTATTTATTTTAGAAAAAAAATTCACCGCTTGTCTTTGAGAACCATCGTTTTTCAACATCATCTGCTCCGAATGCCAAATTCTATAATTATAATTAGACCATTTTTGACACCAAAAGCTTTCTTTATGGAATATGGATGTAAGAATATTTGACTTTTCTCAGGGGAAAATATTCCAAAATGATTTTTTAAACACTCTCGATTGTCCAGCACACCGTTAAATGCCTTTTGAATACTGTAGTTTTGCCTTTATTAATTTTTTAATTATTTTAAACGCACTGAATTGTGTTTTTAATTCATTTTTTTTTTTAATTTTTTTACGTATATAATATATATTTTGAATATTCACTATGCCGCCGTGTCATGTTTTTTTTGGCCACTTGCACTCGCCTCGTTATGTGAAAATGAACTGATTTCGGAATATTTTTTCCGCCGAGGTGATGTTGAATTTGAGCTTTTGCTTTGGTTGGAAATTTGCCGATTTTTTTCTACACTCTTCATAATATGATTTTTATTTTCTTTATTTATTCGCGTAAATTACAATCAGTTGTTTAATGTTGTTGCGTGTAAAAGTTTGTCATTTGTTATAATTTTTTTAAATTTTTTATTTTAATTCGATCTAATAGAAGATTGGCAATGTCGCGCTGAGATTAATTGTGTGAAAATTATTTGCCAAATGCAGCGCATCATTGAGTCGAAAATTCAAAATATTTAATTTCATACAAACATATATACTAATGTATAATACTTTTAAATTATTTTAATATTGTTTTTTTTTGTACTAGTCGCTATATGGATTTATGTCTAGACAAGCTCAAGGCATTTATTTCCTTTTTTAATTTTAATTTTACATTTCCGTTGAGCTTTTTGTGCTTTTTGGCTAAAAGCTCTTGTGGCTATGGTTGTGAGCTTGACTGTGTCTACATATTGAAAAAAAGCTAGTAAAAGTTCATGCAGTCATTTTCATTGAAAACTTTGCGGAGACATTTGTGCTGTGGCGCAATTTTTTTATTTCTGGTCAATTTAAAGCTCTATGAGACGAAATTAAGTGTTAAAAGTAGCTGAGTCGAGTTTCAAGAGATATTTATAGTTATAAGCATGAGTTTTAATGATGATGACGAACTGAATTTTTTTGTTCAACAAATAAGAAATATATGTAAATCTTGCAATTTGTTATTGTCTATGTAGCTTATTCTGCTTAGAGAGGAGAATTCAAACATTTATTAATGTAAACTTTCGTTAAAGACAAACTACAATTGTCTTGCAGCTAAAAATACCTGCGGGAGGCAGGTTAATGCAGGCAATTCACCTCGATGATCGAGTTGCACAAGTGAGTTGTGCAAGTAAGTTGTGCAAGTGAGTTGCACAAGTGTGTTGCACAGGTGTGTTGCACAAGTGTGTTGTGCAAGTGAGTTCTGCAATTAAGCTGCTTTAAAAATTAGCAAATTATTAGTGATTGAAACAATAATTTTCCTAAGCCAATAAAAAGAGAGAGAAATAAAAAAAAATTTTATTTTTTAATTTAAAAATTATGTCCGAAACGCTTATATAAAATTATCGAATCCATCAAGTACGGAACTGCATAATAATAGTTTTATGTATTTAACAGCTCAATGTAAAGTTCAATAAATATTAAAGCTCCAATCTTGCGAACTACATACCCCGTTTAATAAAGTGCTAGTCAAGGGTTAGAGTGGAATAACTAACAATGAAAGGAATTCACTTAAGCCAGAGTGAGATTTGTCATTATAATACAAACTACTGACCATTACTTCACTGCACTTTGATCCTCTGACATACCTCAGTGGGTCAATTAGCTTGACATCAGCTATGTGGTATAGACTAGCAAGAGAGATGGTCCCACTTTGCAGTGCAGGGCTAACACATTCTCACAGAACTCACAACACCTTCTATAATCAGCTGCCAGTGCCAGTTCATAGGTAAAATCTTTGATTTTGTATATAGCAAAGGACAAAGTAATTCGTACCTTATGAAAAAAAATTTCCTTTCTGGTGTCTTCTATAGCAAACTCGTACGCCTAGCAATTTTCTTCTAAGTCCCTAGGTCCAGGTAGCCGTTTGGGTGATATTCTGCTTGGTAATATTTTTCACTGCAGCTGAAATTGATCCCTATCTTTAAAAAAAAATCGATTTCAACTTGCATTGCCGCTTCCACGACAGCTGAGTTATGCGCCTAAAGAAGAGCCTTGCAATAATTTGGCAATCTGAATGCGCGTTCCATGCGAATTATGCATGAGAAAATACGGCCACCGGACTTATGAGCCTCAAGTTTTGTTGTATTCGCGTGTATTTTCAAACTAGCCGAGAGTGTTCGATTCTCGAAAAATGTTGCCCTCTCATTATGAATCATTTGAACAAGGCTCTCTTTGGCTGTGAAAAATTACTTTTTAAGCTAGAAAAAAAAAATATTTGAAAAAGAATTGAATCTCGAATTTCTAAAAAGAAATCTAAATTCCAAGCTCCCATTAAGTAGTTTGTTTACATTTCCACGCACATTTTCTATTGACATACAGATGTATATAATTAATTAATTTATCTTTCTATTTTTAACTTTCAAAAACATTCTTAATTTGTAATAAATCTATTTAAATTTGTTTACAAGTGCCTAATATCTTTACAAGAATTTTTTGAAAATGCTTTTGTGTACATATGTATTTTGCCATGATCAATTAAATGCATTCACATATAAATAATTCGAAGATAATTTTAAAAATCATTACATCTGCGGAATATATGATTATTAAGGCAAATAAATTTTTATAAATATTTTGGATATTTTTAGTGTAA